TTAAGCTGGTCCTTTGTTGGTTTATGCTGGTCCTTTTGCTGGTTTTTGCAGGTTTATGCTGGTCCTCTGCCAGCACATGACCAGCATAAACCAGCACATGACCAGCATAAACCAACAAATGGACCAGCATAAACCAGCAAAGGACCAGCTTAAACCAGCAAAGGACCAGCTTAAACCAGCAAAGGACCAGCTTAAACCAGCAAAGGACCAGCTTAAACCAGCAAAGGACCAGCTTAAACCAGCAAAGGACCAGCTTAAACCAGCAAAGGACCAGCTTAAACCAGCAAAGGACCAGCTTAAACCAGCAAAGGACCAGCTTAAACCAGCAAAGGACCAGCTTAAACCAGCAAAGGACCAGCTTAAACCAGCAAAGGACCAGCTTAAACCAGCAAAGGACCAGCTTAAACCAGCAAAGGACCAGCTTAAACCAGCAAAGGACCAGCTTAAACCAGCAAAGGACCAGCTTAAACCAGCAAAGGACCAGCTTAAACCAGCAAAGGACCAGCTTAAACCAGCAAAGGACCAGCTTAAACCAGCAAAGGACCAGCTTAAACCAGCAAAGGACCAGCTTAAACCAGCAAAGGACCAGCTTAAACCAGCAAAGGACCAGCTTAAACCAGCATCCCAGCGTCAAAACATACCTAACAAGCATATGCTGTTTTTTTCAACAGGGAAATTATCATATTTAGCATATATTTTGTCGATATAGTCCGATACACATCGAAAGCTTACTGTAGCTATGGTCACCATAGCTTCAAACTAAGCTAAGCTTGTGTAATTTCTGAAACGCTGTTGAATCATAGCTTATATGTATGTTTTGTATAATAACATGGGTATGACATAGGTATTACAACGAGAAGGGGATTTATGAGGACATTTTCAGTGTCCCCATAATTCAAAAGGCTTATAAATAATTCAGAATGAGTTTTTTTGAAAATCTAAACATGCACAAAGTTTCCTGTGAGGGGTAGGTTTAGGGGTAGGGTTGGTGTAGGGCAATAGAAAATACGGTTTGTACAGTATAAAAACCATTATGCCTATGGATAGTCCCCACAAACCATAAAAACAAACCTGTATGTGTGTGTGTGTGTATGCATATACATACATGCTTTAAAAAAAAGAACCAAAATTTTCTTTAAGTTATATACATTTTATATATAATGTATATATACTGGAAACATGTTGGTCAGAGCTTTGAAATGGGACTGAGGGATTATCAAGTAAGGAGCGGTTGGCATCTGATAAGATTAATCAGCTATCACTGAACTGTGTGGCCTATTGAACTAAGAAAGCATTTAGACTCCCTTCCCCTCCCACTTCTGGGTATCATCAGCAGAGCATTGCTTTAGAACATTAAACCTTTGCATGGTCACTTACATAAAGACAAAATGTGGCTGTTCTGAAGCACTTGATTCAGTTTCATTTCTGCAGTTTAACAATGCACATGTTGCACTTCTGTTCTGTCACAGTTTGTAGTCACCCATTAAATTAATTTGCCATAATCATGATTTATTTGTTCTGTTCTAATCACATCTTGTAAATCTTTCAGCTCTTATCCTGACAGATTTGATTAACGAAGAAAATGATCTATTTAACAATGAGTAGAGAACAAAAATGAACTCAGCATTACTTATTAAACTCAGGTAACAGCCTCAGCAAGGGATGGTTGACTTAAAACAGAGGTTACATGTCTGTTTGTTTGCTCTTACCTCATGCAGGGAATTACACAAGATCCTCTTTTCAACACTCACAACTCACTGTGTCTACTCCTACAGCCAGAGCAAATTTAAGCTTTGCTTGAAGGGAAAGGGAGGAAAAATGAATGTGGTTGCATTATGTTTCATTCAGACAACAGGTAAGATTAATATACTAAAACAGAAGAGCACTTTAAAAGATCGTGGAAAGGCGTATTGCCTCAGTAGGAAGCATGTAGACAGGAAATGGGAAACCGTGAAACATTTATAACGCGGCGTTAACAAAGAAGATTACACAGTAGGTCAGTTGTTTAAAGTAATGTCGTCTTGACATTGTTCTGGCTGCTGACGATCAATATTTTAACTTTTAATACAACGGAATTAAAGAGAAGTGAATGTCATATCAGACGAGGCAAAGAGTAACACTGCCCTCTAGCGATACGATAAAGAACTGGACAATCAATTATGGGTCTACTGTTACTCCTAAACGACTGTGATTAAAAAAATTTAAAAAAGACATTAAAATCTAACAGTAACAGTAACCGGTACATTTACCTCAACGTTTGGAGCTCGAAAATGAATAAAATACGCAAAGTCTCGTTAACCAACAGGTGGCACTAGTAAACCTGAATAATTCAGGATGTCAACAGCATTACGTTATCTCTGTACACAAAGCGCATGTGGGAAGATACAGTTATTGTCTCTGGTTATGAATACATGTGGTTGCAGTTTAGTAATACACATGGGGTCCAAAAGTCTGAGGCCGGCCTTACCATTTTATTGGTCTTATGAAGTATTCTAATTTGTTGAGATAGTGAATTGGTGGGTTTTTGTGAAATGTGAGCCAAAATCATCACAATTAAAAGAACCAAAGACTTAAACTACTTCAGTCTGTGTGCATTGTATTTATTTAATACACGAGTTTCACAATTTGAGTTGAATTACTGAAATAAATGAACTTTTCCACGACATTCTAATTTATTGAGATGCACCTGTAGCCTTTATGTCCTTCCTAGTAAACCCATAATGGCACTACCGTCAGAAAGGAGTCATACCATTACCGTTATGAGCATCAAGTGATAAATAAGCAACATTTGAAAGCTTGCCATTTTGCTTAATTGTCAGCATGTGTTCAAAACATCTGTTTTGGCATCATTTGTTCACTGGTGCATGTGTACAACTCTTGTGTACAAGCAGCTGTAATCTGAAATGAAAAAAAATGAAATAGTTCCAACTAGTTTTAATATAATTCACTCATAAATGGAGTGGTGCCCTGGAACCAACTGATCTTATTTTTATCACTTCAAAATAACAGCAAGTATAGCACATCCTAAATGTAGCAAATTTTGCATGTAAATTTATTGAACAATTAAGATATTACTTGTCAGTGGCATTAAGTGTTTGCTCATAGAGCAACATACAGCGTAGTCTATACCTTTATGCAACCTAACCACAAGCTGTACTCTTCAGCGCAATGGTAACCACAAAAACTTAAAAGAACAGAACCTATTTAAACATAACAGAATTAAATACAAACAGGTCTTTCCCTTTTCTAAAATAAAATAAAATAATGCTTTGTTTCAACATTTATTCTGCGTTATTATATTTAATAAATACTAAATCTAAATGCAACAATGTTCATTACAACAAAAAGATGACACTGAGAGCAGGGTAGGTGCAGCATTACAGCCTCTGTCTTTAAATAGCACAACGCTTTTAGCTCAGAAACAGACTAAGCACATTCTCAGTCTGCAAACATGACCATATGTAATGAGCATTCAGAAGGGACGCTGAGGGAGTAGTTTTTTGTTTTGTTTTTTAAGTTGCATAACCATAATGGTTCATTATGGGTGTAAATTAGGGTCATTAGGTATTATTCCAACTGTCACTACTGTAAATTAGACACACACACATCCAGTATGCATGAAGAAACATCCGGAAAACAGGCTATATTTTGAGTGTTCTTGAGGTGAATGTACTCACATCAGCAACCAAAGGACATTATGATTGCTCCACTCCGTATGATTGCTTATGATTGCTTTACTCCGTGTACTGTGCTTAAGGTCAAACCTAAATGACTGTGGGTAGGTTAGTGTAGTTGAGTATTTTGTAATCTCTATCATCTCTATCTATCTCTATCTCTTAGATCATAATCTAGCATTAACTTAAAGGAATAGCAATGTAATATGCCAAAACTAAACCCTATACGAGCACTATTTCATAAAAAGCACTTTCCCTCAAAGGTGCGGTCACAGTGAAATTTTGGTGAAAATAAATCCATTGTTTATTGTCAATAGTGTAGCGATTTATGATGCACAGCTCACACAGAAGTCACCTTCAAAACCAAGAAGCTTTCTGTTGGCCAGCATGGTAAATTTGCATGACCTACTTGACCCAGTGCAAAATCAGTGTAAAATGAAATATGAAATTCACAATCACGTGGCTTTCTATTGAAATGACTGGATTTCGCCCATGAAAATTTGCCAAAAACATTATTAATTATTAAACATTAGTAATCCACAACCTCAAGCAAATGGTCCTGGAGCTCAAGCTTTCAGTCGCATGATGACATATGCGCGGTATAATATAAACCGACTAAACCCAATATATTGTCAGGAGCTGCAGGTGTTAATTTTGAGTTATAATGTACCTGCAGAGCTGGGTAGTAACTGATTACATGTAATCTGGATTACGTAATCAGATTCCAAAAATGAAGTACTTGTAATTAGATTAAATTACATTTTTAAAAACTCGTAATCAGACTACAGTTACTTTTTTATTGATTACATGATTACATATTATTTACACAATAGCAATAAATTCTTCATAATTTATTGATTCTCCATCATTCTTCTTTTTCATCTTTTAAATGTTCCTTTATTAATTAACCTATATAAAATAGCTTATATACATTCAGAAAGCTTTCCAGTTTTGTGAACATTCACACAAAGACCAGTCACTAGTCAGTTAGCTATACTGTACAGCATTTGACCACTGGATTTACAAAAATCATTTCAGGTTTAAGAAGTGTTTCAACATTGCATTAACTAGTGATGAACACATTCATTTTTTATTTGAATTATCACTCAGTAGGTTATTTAACCATGTATTACTATTGTCTTTGGAAGGCTTTTGTCTTTTAAAATGCACAAATTCACATTATTTCTTATTTACATGTAATGCAGGCATTCACAAACATTTTTGTCATCTGAACCTCTTTCACCAAATATATTTACTTGAAGTACCCCTGACATTTTAAAATAAAGCAATAAGCCCCAAGAAGCCGTGGTTTCTCCGCTTCGCGTCGTGCCCAACATCGCCCCTTAGCTGTTATAAATTCACTGTAAACCACGGCTTCACGGGGCTTATTGCTATTATACATTTTTATGATTTAATTCATTTTTAGCTTTTCATTAAACTCACGAACCCCCTCCAGTTCTTTTATGAACCCCAGTCTGGGAAACCTTGACGTAATGTAATGTTTAATGCACTTCATGTTGTTAATTACAACGAATGGAATGTATTTTCTTACTCTTTGTATTTTTATATACATATGGTACAACATGATTCTATTTAAATCAATGTGATAAATGAGTTTGGTCAAAAGTAATCTAAAAGCAATCAAAAAACAGTCTGATTATATTACCTAAAATGTGTAATGTAACTACAATTTTTGTCATGTAATTTGGAATCAGTAATGGACTACATTTAGTAAGTAATCTACCCAGCTCTGTATAACTGTACCTATTTTCTCGACTCTCAAAGTGACAGCACCCACTGACTACATTTGCATATTACAAATGACCAAGGATCATAGGTTCAGCTAAAAATCATCTTTTGTGTTTTACTGAAGAAAGTCGCCTACATCTTGAATGGCCTAAGAGTGAGTAAATTAACAGCAAATTTTCATTTTTGTATGAACTATCCCTTAAAGAGCCATCAGAGTGGGTTGTGTCCATTTATCGGTTATTGGTCATAACTTAAAAATAAATATTGGCTTTTTAGTCTGCATCCCTGTAAAATGGGACAGAATAGAATAAAATATGGACATAATGTTTTCTCACTACAATAAATTTCCTTTTGCAGGATGACTACTGTACCTTCATTCCCACTGCTGCAGCGGGTCCGCCAGGGTCCACTGCCTGGATGTGGCAGGGTTTAGTTCCTCTCACCACGAATCCCCAGCCCACTGCGTCTCCCACAATCTGCAAACATATACATCCAAGCACATTAACTTAAGATTGTGTATATATATTTGGTCATTTAAAAAATTCAATTCAGATGCCAGTACTGCAGTGGTGGAGCAATATGGTTTAAAAATGGTTGTCAGAGCATATTGTTATATATTGTTGTGCATATTGCATTCAGCCCTGATTTTAAACGGCACTATCAGTGGATACAATTTATTCATAATACATGACAAGAGTCATGTAATACATGACAAGACACAGTTAGGTACATGACAGCTGAATTTCAAAGGCTCCTAAATTGCAGTTGGATTGTCCTGTTGATCCAGTTGAGGGTTAGAATCACCGCCACATGCATCTGAGGAAAAACTTCCTCTCGCTATTTTTAGTTCTGAACTTTCTCAGAACCAAACATAGTAAATTATGCAATTAGAGCTTGGAGCCTGAGCACATTTGGCAGGTGTGTGAGTGACTTACTGTGAATGTCTTCTTTATGTAAGGTCCACCAGGAGCCTGAAGTTCCTCTGGGCTCACTTGTCTCTTCAGCACTGTAAATAATATACACACAATGTTCCTCAGTCATGAACTCTAGGCCCATTTTCATGACAGTAAAACATCATGTGACTATTTAACACATGGTATAAAAGAATCAGGTTTCTATATTCACTGCAACAACACTGAATTTGATTCATTATTAATTCATTACTTTACTCCTTGCATTATGTAATACTGCAGTCCATAATCCCTCATTTAAAAAGTCGATATCAAAACATCCTGGAAAAAAAGTACTTCTTCAGAGACACAGTAAGAAAGACAGTAATTAAGATGTAATGAAGGTTTGTGTTTAATGAAGTAATGAGGTTGTGGCATCACTGTGATGGTCTAATTTAGCACAAGAGGTTCTAATCAGCCTGATCTCTTCATCAGTAATGTAATAAGTGAGCCAACACTGAACCACTAGGTCACAATCCAGGATCCAACTCCACAGCTACTGACAAATACTGACTACTACAATTTATAGAGTAGCAACAAAGACATTGCAATCAAAAAAGGTAGAGTCTACAATGAATATTAATTCCATGAATATAGAAACAGTTATTTTCAATTATAATAATATTTTACAATATTACTGTATTTTTGATCAAATAATTTATTATTTATTGGCTTATTTCTAAAATATTGCCTTGCAACACTCAGTAAACAAGTTAGTATCAATCGCAAGATGAAACTTGTATGTTGATCTCTGATCATATGTACATGGACAATTTTAAATTTTATAAAAGAAAAAAATATATTTCGTTTTTGTTAAAAACTAAATAAAATAATCAGTATTAATCATCTAAATTTAGAAAGCAGAATGAATATTAAAACTGTAATAATATGAAAAATAAAGAAAATATGGTTCAAATATTTAATTCAAGTTGACTTTGATACAGACTACGTATTTGGTGCGTATTTGCCAATTTTGGGTCTTGACAGACAAGATCACTATTATCAAAATGATAAGCATGCAAGCTATGAATGATATTAGGGTGAGTAAACAAGGACAGATGTTTGTTTTAGGGCGAACTATCCTTTTAAAGAACATTCACTGTATGTGTGCATATAGGGAACACAAGGCCATGTATGTTCTTAACTACGAGGCCCTTTCCATTTCCCTTTCAAAGTCACTCTGTACATGCCTGAAACATTTCACACACAATGCCACATCCTTTATAACGCAGGGAGAAAGGATTATGTGTGTGTGTGTTTGAGAGAGAGAGAGAATATTTATAATAACATGCCAACAAAAAGTGTATAAGTATCGGGCCTCAATGTGTTTCTCTCATTCTCTCTTACTCACTTTTTCATTTTTTTCTTATCGGCGAACTATCCTTTTAAAGAACATTCACTGTATGTGTGCATATAGGGAACACAAGGCCATGTATGTTCTTAACTACGAGGCCCTTTCCATTTCCCTTTCAAAGTCACTCTGTACATGCCTGAAACATTTCACACACAATGCCACATCCTTTATAACGCAGAGAGAAAGGATTATGTGTGTGTGTGTGTTTGAGAGAGAGAGAGAATATTTATAATAACATGCCAACAAAAAGTGTATAAGTATCGGGCCTCAATGTGTTTCTCTCATTCTCTCTTACTCACTTTTTCATTTTTTTCTTATCCATTTTGGGAGGTGAGCTCAATAATCCCAGGATTGGATGAAAAAATGTACCAATCAGAGGCAGGCAACAGCCCTGCCAAACCCAGAACATGGAAAAGCAGCCTATTTTCTTCACAAATTCAAAATGTACAACATGTTATAATGCTGAATGCTCTGATGACAGATTGCATTTTGGATCTACGTTATTGTTGGACAAAAAACAGGTCTGGTTTCAACAGTGGGCCTCACTGTACTGGGGCAGTGCAGAGCGGGAGCTGTGATGTGGTAAAATGAAGGCTGAGTCATGTGCTAGGTGTGGAATGCTTCATTGCAGGCATGCTTTAAGCTCGCCTTGGATCGCCATGGAGGCCAATGTTCTAATTTGGTGGTGGAAGAGGAGGAGGGGAAGGAGGAGGACCCTGAGTTTGTGTGTATAAAATGTCCTTCTGTCTCTCTGCCTGCTGGCTGTGCTCCTTGCCTTTCCTGAAGGGGACGATGTGTTCTTGCCAGGCTCTCTCATACACATACACACATAAACACACACACACACACACACACACACACACACACACTACTCGTGTACTACTACTGTTCAAAGTTCTCAGCTTGAGAGTTTTTATGGGTCAGAGAGTTTACTACTCCACACACAAACACTCACTCAGATTGGGAGTCAGAGATGGATAAAACAGATTGAGATATAGTTAAATAAGGGTAAAGAGAACATGTATTTTACAATCAGTTCCAATTATTTTTTTCTCAGATTTATTTGTTATTAGTCACTGGGCAGTGATAAACAACATCATCGAGTAATCAAGATAACACCTTCACTCACCCTGAGAGGAGCTTCAATATAATGTGAGATCAAGGGATTGCTCACCCAAAACTGAAAAGTCTGTCATTATTTACTCATTCTAACAGATTGCATTTTGGATCTACGTTATTGTTGGACAAAAAACAGGTCTGGTTTCAACAGTGGGCCTCACTGTACTGGGGCAGTGCAGAGCGGGAGCTGTGATGTGGTAAAATGAAGGCTGAGTCATGTGCTAGGTGTGGAATGCTTCATTGCAGGCATGCTTTAAGCTCGCCTTGGATCGCCATGGAGGCCAATGTTCTAATTTGGTGGTGGAAGAGGAGGAGGGGAAGGAGGAGGACCCTGAGTTTGTGTGTATAAAATGTCCTTCTGTCTCTCTGCCTGCTGGCTTGCCTCCTTGCCTTTCCTGAAGGGGACGATGTGTTCTTGCCAGGCTCTCTCATACACATACACACATAAACACACACACACACACACTACTCGTGTACTACTACTGTTCAAAGTTCTCAGCTTGAGAGCTTTTATGGGTCAGAGAGTTTACTACTCCACACACAAACACTCACTCAGATTGGGAGTCAGAGATGGATAAAACAGATTGAGATATAGTTAAATAAGGGTAAAGAGAACTATTTTTTCTCAGATTTATTTGTTATTAGTCACTGGGCAGTGATAAACAACATCATCGAGTAATCAAGATAACACCTTCACTCACCCTGAGAGGAGCTTCAATATAATGTGAGATCAAGGGATTGCTCACCCAAAACTGAAAAGTCTGTCATTATTTACTCATTCTAAAGCTGTAAGACTTTTTTTCTCGATGAGCACAAAAGGAGACATTTTATCTAATAAATATTATATATAGAAGCCTACCGAAGTCATACAATCGACACACTTATGTTTTGTGTCAAATGGCATTGTCGTACCGGTACCATAATTGAACCCCATACCACTTTGATAGTACATTTTGGAGATTTGGTGGAGGGAAACATTATTTAAGGAGTAATTGATGACGGCTATTTGAATTATTAGAAAATAATGCACAGCCCAGGTGGTGATGCGGCTACGACACGAAGCGTCAGATGTGTGTGTTATTTTCTAATTATTTAACGGACCAGAGTCAATTATTCCGCTTAAACTATGGTTACCACACCTAAAGACATTGTTCAGATGATGTATTTCAAGACATTTGTCAGGTTTTTTTCCTTAAAACGCTCTTGCGTGTAGAACTTCGGCTTAAGCATCTCATCCCACGCTTCCAAAACGTAACTTTAATGCAACTTTGCTAATTCCAAAACAGAATTTTAGACTTAGTGATGGAGGCTTAAGCCGTTGATAGCACACTAATGCAGTTAATAATGAAGTTATTAGAGAGAGAGAGAAAGAATTACCTCTGAGTTTGTGCATCTCAACATTGTTCGGCATCAGCATCTCTACTATTAGCGAAACTGTAAGTTCATCTGTTTCAAGAACAGCACTGTATTACCTCGCTAGTGAGAAATGTTCTGTAGCTTTTAAGTTCATATTTATTTTATTGATAAAATGTTCAGAGCAGCGCTAACTAGGGATGTTCATTAACCGACCGTAAGAATTTTGACCTATTAATACAATCAGTTAAATGGTTTAAAAAATAATTGAATTATTGATTTTTTTAGTAATTTATCAAAATATTTAAAAAGGTTTGCTGCATGGTTAAAATACGCTACGCATATTTAAAAAAATAGTTTTTTAGGGGGAAAAGACATAAGTCGCGTATAAGTCGCATTTTATTGTTTCATTCAGAAATGGGCCTAATGCCGACGCAAAATGTTTACAAACATTATAATAAACACTGTAAACATAGCTAGGCTATTTTAGTTCCCCTCACTCCACAACAAATCCTTTCAATTAACAGTATAGGCTATTTAGAAAAGAACAAGAATTACAAATATATGAAGCTATAGCAATATAAACGACAAGCCAAAACTAATTCATTTAGGCTAAAACAAAACTGAAACCAACGTTGGGTCTCTCATTCGACACAAAATCAAATGTTTCCATATTCGCGATGTATTTGAATGGCAAATTATTATTTATTATGTACTTCACTCGCGTTCTAATATCCACGTAAAACAAAATGTTTTGCATAACATCACGGCGGT